AAAATCTCCGTTTCTCGTAAATGCAGCGGCTTTATTATAAACAAAGCGTTGTTTATAATTATTGTGTGTAAATGAAAATCATTTGATTATTTTGTGTATAAAAAAAGGAAAAAAGTAAGCCCCATAGGACTCCTTTATTATAATTTAAAGGCTTAATAGGATCGTATATTTGCGAAAAAATCTCTGTTTGTTCGTACATGCAGCTGCTTATTATAAACAAAGCGTTGTTTAAAATAATTGTGCGTGAATAAAATTTATTAGATCATATTGTATATAGAAAAAGGGAAAAAATGAGCCGAATAGGACCACTTGATTATGATTTTAAGGCTTAAGAGGATCTTATATTTGCGAGAAAATCTCTGTTTTTTAGTAAATGCAGCTGCTTATTATAAACAAAGCATTGTTTATAATTATATTGCATGAATAAAATTGATTAGATCATATTGTATATAAAAAAAGGAAAAAAATTAGCCCAATAGGACCTCTTCCTTATAATTTTAAGGCTTCATAGGATCGAATATCTTCGAGAAAATCTCCGTTTCTCGTAAATGCAGCTGACAATTATAAACAAAGCGTTGTTCATAATTATTGTGCGTGAATAAAAATCATTTATTTATTTTGCTTATTTAAAAAGGTAAAAAGTGAGTTCCACAGGACCTCTTTTTTATAATTTGTAAGCATGATAGAATCAATTTTCTTCGAGAAAATCTCTGTTTTCGTAAATGCAGTGACTCACTATAAACGAAGCGTTGTTCATAACTCTTGTGCGTGGATACATATAAGATCATATTTTATATGATAAAAGGAATAAACTTGGCCCCATAGAATCTTGAGATTACAATTTTAAGGCCTAATACATTCGAATGTCTTTGAGAAAATCTTAGTTCTTTGTTAATGCAGCAGCTTATTAGAAACAAAGCGTTAATTATAATTATTGTGCATTAATGAAACNTAAATATTTAAAAACAATTTTTTACGTTGTAAGTATAGTTTCCATAGACGATTTATATTTTTAACTGAGCTAAAAATGAACAGTTTATGCTTTAAACATGACTTTACCTTGTTTTAACCTAAACTACCTACAATTTACTATTCGTATTCTCAAAAATATTGGAACTTATTTTCTTAGTATATTTTGAATTTATGTAAAAATGAGCCCCATAGGACCCATTCCTTATATTTTGAAGGCTTGATAAGATTAATTTTCTTCGAGAAAATCTTTGTTTTTCGTAAAAGCAGCGGCTTATTATAAACAAAGCGTTGCTTATAGCTATTGTGCGTGATTAAAATTTAGTAGATCATATTGTACATAAAAAAAAAAAATGTACCCTATAAGACCTTTACATTAAAATTTTGAGGCTCAATAAAATCAAATTTCTTCGAGAAAATCATATTTTTTCGTAAACAAAGCGTTGTTTATAATAAATGTGCGTGGATAAACTTATTCGATCATACTGTATATAAAAAAAGGAAAAAAATGAGCCCAATAGGACCTCTTCCTTACAATTTTAAGGCTTTATAGGATCGAATATCTTCGAGGAAATCTCCGTTTCTCGTAAGTCAGCTGGTTATTATGAACAAAGCTTCGTTTATAATTATTGTGCTTGAATATAAATTCCTAGATCATATTGTATATAATAAAACGAAAAGACTTAGCCCCATAGAATCTTGAGATTATAATTTCAAGGCTTGATACAACCATATTTCTTTAAGAAAATTTTAGTTTTTGTAAATGCAGCGACTTATTAGAAACAAAGCGTTGTTCATAAGTATTGTGCGTGAATAAAATTTAGCAGATCATATTATATTTAAAAAAAGAAAAAAAGTGAGCTCAATAGGACCACTTGATTATTATTTTATAGTTTAATAGGATCTAATATCTTCGAGAAAATCTCCGTTTCTCGTAAATGCAGCTGCTTATTATAAACATAGCGTTGTTTATAATTATTGTGCGTTAAAAAAAATTTAGTAGATCACATCGTATATGAAAAAAAGGAAAAAAATGAGCCTAATAGGACGACTTGCTTATAGTTTTAAAGTTTGATAGGATCGAATATCTTTGTGAAAATCTCCGTTTCTCGTAAATGCAGTGGCTTTATTATATACAAAGTGTTGTTTATAATTATCGTGCCTGAAATAAAATGATTAGATAGTGTTTAACATAAAAATGGAAAAAAGTGAGTTTTTTAGACCTTTTAATTATTATTCAAGTAAATTTTATGTCTGCCAATTTAATGTTGTAATATAGTTTATTAAATTTGTGTTGGCTGCTCTTTTGTTTAATATTTATATGTAACAATTACCAAGATGTACTTTAACTACTTCTATATTGAGTTGAAGCACTAGTTGACATGCCGAGCGCATATTTAAGCCTTTTAAATGTATTCGAAAAAGAATTTTTTGACGGACTATTCTATATAGTCCAGCGGCTAGCTCCAGCTACATTTGCAACCATAACTCAGATTATCAAGAGATCCCTTATTTCCTTCTCACCATACCCGTTACCAGCAGCTGCATATACTGGGTCCACCTTACTTATAACCTTGAATCCTCCTTATTTAAAAGTTGTCCTATCAGGTCCTAAAGCAGAACTTGACACAGAAGTTGACGATTTTACAGATGAACTTAACAGGTGCCCAGAAAACGCCACCACCACAACCACAGCTCCTCAACATACACTTAAACTCACCCACGACCTCTTGCGTCTCATCAAGAAGAAGAAGAGAGTCCAAAAACTCTGGCAGGAATGGAGAACCCCTGAACGAAAAGTTCATCTTAACTCCCATGAAAGGGAAGTCAAATCTTAAGTCTTAGACTTCTGAAACAAAGAATTTAACAAATTCATAACCGAGGCAGGGCCGCACCTAAGAAATACTTGGAAGGTCGTCAAAAACCTCTGTAACAAACGGCCTTTCCTCCCCCGCCTCCAACAAGGGAACAAACTCTACTCGCTAGATTCGGACAAAGCAGAGATCTTTGCAGATTTGCTGCAAAATCAATGCTCCCCCAACTTTAGCGCTGAAGAACTCTTGCAGGAACACGCGAGAATTAACCACACGTTGCACACACAGGTCGTTGAGAATCCAGATTTTGAACACTGCACATCCTTCGAAATCAGAGGCATCATCCACTTCCTAAAAACTCGGGAAGCTCCTTGCAGTGATGGCGTCTCCAATAGCGTCCTGAAAATCCTCCCGCAAAAATTCATTACGGCGATTTGCAACATTACCAACGCCGTGATGCGCCTTCGTTATTTCCCAATTTCGTGGAAGGTGGCTACGGTCATCTGTCTCCCGAAGCCGGGAAAATCCATCAGCAACCCTTCGAGCCACAGATCCGTTAGCTGACTCTCGTCACCCAGTAAAATAACCGAAAACGTGATTCTTACCCGCCTAAACAAGCACACCACGGAAAATAACATCCTCCCAGACGTGCAGTACGGCTTTAGAGCCAGACATTCGGCCGTACACTAGCTTCTGAGAGTCACAGAAGACCTTTATGATAGCCTTATCCACAAAAACTTCACTGCGATAGCTTTCCTAGATGTACAGCAGGCCTTCGACAGAGTTTGGCATGAAGGCTTCCTGTACAAGCTTATTCAGTTAGGTTTTCCGCACTACCTCATTAGCACTATCAAATCCTTCCTATCGGACAGATTCATCCGCGTTAAAGTTGGCGACTTCAATGCGACAAATGCGACTTCAATCCGTACGCTTCCTTCAGGATCACCCTTCTATCCACCGTATCCTTTACGGCCTTAATCCTATACAACACTTACACTAATCACAAGTACGCTTCCAAATACACAATACCCAGTGGACTCACACATCTATACATACACATACAATAACACCAAATTCAAGCTTCTCTAACTCTATTCCAGCGCAAGCCAAAATTCGAGCTTCGCCCAGATGCGCAAGTGCCCCTCCTCTCATCCCTTTGACAGAGAGCTGGCCTCCGAAATTCTGCATTATTTTCCTTCTTCTTTCTTCTCCTTTGCCCTTTTGTCTTCGAGGGAAGTGGTCCTCATGGACCTGTCCCATGCGGGAAGGTTAGTTTTTAGTCGGTAAGCACACTGGCTGAATTCGACACTATCTATGAAGATTTTGCCCTCCCCACTCCAAAAAAAAAAAAAAAAAATTTGCAATTGACTACCACTAAATATAAAACAACCATGAATGCCGCCTTTGCTCGTTATTTAGATAAAGTTGGATCATTGATTTATAGTTAATATTTTCCGTACCACAAGCCCATAGTTACTACTGTTAAAATTTAAAATGAGTCTTCAGTATCAATAACGGAAGGTAATGATGAATAAGCATTAAAAAAATTTTCACTTTTCAAGTAAAATAATGTTAATGAACAATGACCAAAAGATCATATATTTTAAGAAACAAACTTCTATATAATAAATCTCATCAAAGCTTCGCTTCTTCCATGGGTCCCGCGACCTATAGTTTTTACAAAAAAGCATAAATTCTGTTTCTTTTATTTAATATTAATAGCAAAACTAGAAGTCTTATTGGTAGTTATGGTAGTATAAAGAATAATGACTGCAAAAACTCTTGTAACAAGTCTTCCTTGATTTTTTTTCGTGAATCATAATGTAGCTTAAGTCAATGTTTGAACTTGCTTATTTATATGTACGTTAAAAACTATTTAGCTATTGAGTTATACTGACTAGAACCAAAATCGTATTTGGGGTGTACTGAAGTAAATGCGAAAATTTTAATATATCAGCGAAGGTTCTTGGTAAAAGTGTCAGTTATTAACTAAACGTAAAATTTTTAATTTCCACACGAACACATAAGCAATTAAATGTTATTTAATCATGTAATTAAAACAGTTCGACTTTATTTCTAATAATGTTTGGAGTGATACTTTCTAATTTACATATATATTTAAGTTAATATCCACGATTTTGTCAGTTAATAAATAATCAATGTTTATCACAAAACTGTTATAAAAATTAAGCGTTATTTAATGATTTTTATGTTTAGAGACTTGGAATACAAGGATCAGCTCTATACGAAAATGTTGCAGACAAGGTTGACTACACTAACTTTTTTGAAGGTAAAATATATAATTATTTGAAAACTTGTGCAGTACAGAGTGTGGTAATGCTGGCTACTTGCTATAATAAACTGATGAAAGATTGATTTGTAACGTTTGTTGTTAACAGCATACATACGTAGCTGTTCTTAACTTTCATACAATTTTTTATTGTTACATGGATTATGGTTTAAACATTTTTACTCTTACTATTAAAAACATTAAATAAAAGCTACTCATCTTTACACTTATTAAATTTAAATTAATGGTATTATTTAAGTCCTGTGTCCTGCACAATCCGAAATGGGTAAAGAGCATTGAATCGTTGTACGTTCACAAATGGTTTTCGGAATTTTTTTTGTACACTTCAGATCAGAATGAACCATACAAAAACTGTGTTCTGTATGAGGACCGTAAGTCATGTGTTTAATGACTAATTTTGTAAGTTCCGAATCACTTGAAAAATTTCAGCAGAAATAAATGTATCAATTTGTAAAATCAATTTGTGGAAATAGTATAACAGTAATATTTGAAGTATCATATAGTGTCGGATTTTTTAAAAATTAGGAAAAAACTGACTTTAATTTTTTTCCACTCATGATAACATTTTACTGTCATAAATAATTTTGGCTTACCACATTTTCTAATGATAGCTATAGCATCCTGATAGTGTTTCGGCATTTATCTTAGACTTTTGATGAATTTCAATGGCAGTATGAAGAGATTTTCAATTTTTTCCCTTTATTAATTTACTTTTTGTTTGCTTTATTGTTGCGCGAATCGTCGTCGCGCTCACCACAATATATTTTTATCGCACTTGATTGCACGCAATCAGTCAATCGTCAAAACATTAACATCTCACATAGGTAATACGTAATCGCGCCTCCTTTTGTATACAACTCCTCCTGTTGGGACGTGTATCGTCCTCGTATGATATCGCCTTGGTCGCGAATCTGCCGCAAATGTGCCGCCCACGCTCTTCTTCCCTACCCCCGAGAGTGGGGGGGTCTGAAAGAACGATGCAACCACCGGATCTGCGTCCGAAGCGTGGACGACTGAGCCCTCATCGACGGCAAATTCGAGAACGTAAGGAGGCCAAATCGATGATCCGGTTACGAGAGCCTCCTCCCTATTTCCGTTTAGTTCATATTTTTTTCTCTTTCCACGCTACGCCAGCTAATTTTTTTTTTTTTTTNTCAATTTATGATTTTACTCCTATGTATGTAAATATTGACTTATTAATTTTTTCTATTTATAAAATACATCCATGCAGGACCTGAGCAATGTGGGAGAATATATCAAAATATAAATGAAAAATCAAATATTTAAGGATTTGTAGGTCAGTAAAGGATGGTTGGGTAAAAAAAATGTAAGTCAAAATAACGAAAACGACGTTCATACGCTTTCAATTTTATTATTCTATGTATGTTACGAGCGAATTCTGTTCACTAACATTCATACATGTGTTACGTACGATGGCATATAGCTATACGTGCGTGCGCCTCTTCTGGCTTGAGCCTGAAAGGTAGGGAAATAGAGAAGAGAGGTGATAGGAAAGGGAAAGAGAAGGGACAAGGAGATCAGCTAGAGACGCGAGAGCGTAAGGACGAAGTTTGCGAGACGAGAATACACGCAAAACTTCCCTCAAACATAAGTAATTCCAATAAAGCATAAGTTAACAACAAGTCACGCTTCTATTTATTCCCGCACCGAGAATCCCACATAACACATGTATATATTAGTTCATTTTTCAACTTTATGTCTCTTTAACTTTATGTTCATAAAATAATATGCATACATGTATGTTTATGAGTATGTGTCAGGGTCTACAAAAGTTAGTAGAGTATCAGTAAGATTTCAGAAAAATGGTGCGGAGGGATATGTGGGAAAAAGGACAGTGGGGGTTAATAAATAATTTAGTGTGTGGCAGTGGGGGCATGTGAAAGGTCCCGATCAGAAACCTACACTATGGCGCATATCATGCCCATAGGGTGCCATAAGCAACGTATACGGACCATGTATGGCACCATACTCGGTCAGTATATGGGATGTTACTACATGCGTGTACGGACCAGCTATGGCAACCATGGGTTCCGGTAATTGTATACGATCCGTAGACTTCCCGGAAATGGCAAACGTAAGTAAACAATGTCGTCCCAAAATAATTAATAATTAATAACCCAGTGTATTATAAAAAAAATCTTTATTTGTTGTATTAGTAAAACTACAGTGTGGAGTTAGTACATTTACGTAAACAAGTAGGTATAAACGTAATTGTTATTCTTTTTTTTCGTTTGTATCCTTAGGTATTTGCACATTTAACTTAATTTTTTTTAACAATCATTTAGATCAGCCACCTTCCCAATCCATGCAGTTGTTAATAATAACACAAAGGGCTTGCTTAACAAGCTTTAGACGCTCCATCTCACCTTTTGTCAGTTGAGCATACGAATCCATCCAGCATAGTGTCTGAAAAATTTGGGCTTATTATATACTCTACTTCCGATTATTTTCTTCAAACATTAAATTAAAGCAAATACCATTAATGTATTAAAAAAAAAAAGTTGACCCCATGAAAGGTTTATTCCCACTCGCAATTTGCATTTTTTTAGAATGAAAATGAGATTCCAATTGGTGATCCATATTTATTTATTTATTTATTTTTTCAAATAACGAGTTATGGCACACTATATTTATTCTGGTACAAAAGTCGAAACAAAATAAAACTATCTATACATGTTGCGTATGTATATACTTCCTGGACCATATACGGACAGTATACTTTCACCGGAACCCATAGTTGCCATAACTGGCCCGTACACTCACCTGGTAACACTTCATATACGGGCCATCGAAATTACCCTCTGGCAAGCAGTTTATGGGCCGTATGGTACTTAACACCAGCCATATACTATTTCTGATCGGGACACTGAAAGGCCATAGGCGTTATAGGAGTGGTAGAGGGTCTAAAAAAATTAAGCTAAGTGAAATTATGCCCCACACAAGCCACAACTAGTGGGGCTAACGTCCCCCTGCGCGCTCCGCGCGCCAACCCCCCCCCTCTAACAATTTGAATAGACAAAATAACGACATTACTCGTGCATTTATCAATGCAGGCTGATAATTGGTTATTGGTTAACAATAGCAGAATACGTGACTCACAAAGAAGTTGATGAAACACATGATAACATAAATGTTAATTTTCCAATAAAACGGTCTCCAACCACACGAATTAAAATTTTAAAAAAATGCTATAGTAGTGTTGATAAGAACTTTAAGTATGTCAGACGGTCTCTGTAGAGGCACAAGATTAAAAATAACAAAATTATTTAATTATAATATAGAAGCAGATATAATAACGGGAGAAAAAAAAGCAAAGCTTATAATCCTAGAATAACATTGAATACTGGTATCTCATCATCATTACCTTTCGTCTTCTATAGGAAACAGTTCCCCTTTGTATAAGCATGTTCTATGTTTATCAACAAATTATAAAAACAGAGTTTTGATTCCTTAGGATTGTATATTAAAAAACCTTTATTCTCTTGCGGACAATTATACGTTGCTTTATTAAGATATTAGAATCCAAAAAGAATTTTTATTCAAATTGAATCCGAGAATAAATCAGAAACTAAAAATATTGTTTAGCAAGAAATTTTTCAGTAATTCAAATATATATAACTTTAAAGATCGTCACATTTAAACAGACGTATGTTAATTCATAAAAACCATGAAAAACAAATATGTGAAAAATGTGGAAAGGGTTTTAAAAGAACAGATGGGTTAACATGACACATAAAATGTCACTACATAATGCTAACAGAATGAATTATTGTTTCAAAAGTTCAATCAAGTTAAACAAATAATGGTACTTCAGAGACATATAGTGAATAAGGGGAAGCGGATAGACAGAGGAAGACCTATAATCAGTGACTTAAAAAACCCTAAAAACGAGGTATGACTTGGGTACTAAATTACTTATATTTTGTAACATTTATGATGGTAAAACATTCTATAAATAAGTATTTTTTGGGGGGGTGGTTGAGAGGGAGGTGGAGGAGGAGGTGGAGGGGGAGCAAGGGGGAGCTCACTCAAGTATAATTTGATAAAAAATGACGTTAAAACACGCAAATAACAACGTAAACCGAGGGGGAGCTGAGGGGTAGTGGAGGGGCTGAGACTCACTTTTGTCAATACAACTATATAATATAGGGAGATGTATATATATAAGTAAGGTTTTGCGCCCCTGAGCGCTTTGTGCGTCAACCCCCCAATACTCTATCTTAGAATCAGAGGTGTATAATATAATACAACTACATTATTTTAAGTCTTAAATTAAAAGTGAAGTTATTTCATACTTCAAAAAGCAACGTTATTGCATACAAATACTTATTTGACAAGAAATAGAATTTTCGAAATAGATGTTGAATTAAAAAGTTTTGTACGATATTTTTGTAACAATTAAATATAAAATTTAAATTTTTCTCATAGTATTGAAATTACTTAAGTAATTTAAATTTCTACTTTTTTCTGGTAATAATGACAGCTGGCATAGTGACATATTACATCATAATGTCAAAATTTCGGATGAACTAAAGAAAATTATAAACACAAATTATTATAATTTTAAAAAAAAGTTGCAGGATAAAGACACGTGGGAGTAATATCGGTGAGGAGGTGCATCGCAAGAATGACCAACAATTGTTATATCAAGAGCTTTATTCACGATAACGAAATTAAAGGCAAAGTAACGCGTGTGCTTGGTCTGTCCGATCTCCTTTGTTTGCCTGGCCCCCTTGAACTCCCTGACTCGTTGGTTGCCCGACTGCTGCTAAAGTGCCTCGAGAGTCCCTGACTGAGGGCCGAGTGCCGAGGGTCCCGATTAGAGGCTCGCTGGGCCTTATATCTACGTATGCGTGGAAGACTATTACAGTGTGACGTTACCCCATTTAAAATAACATTGGAGTATGTCTCCGTCATGACTACCGGGATGTTGAATAGGTGTCTCGGATTCCTCTGCA